TGCTTTACAATTTTAATTCACTGTGTCCAAAATTGTGTCCTATACCCTCATACACTGTGAAACAAGAAGGAAAAAATATATATTGCATGGCCGCTTAGAACTTCCGTAGAAAAACGTATTTTCCTTTCTTGTAAACATCCTGTGTGCGTGGAGTGTCACGTGAGTCATGTCACTATATATTGAACTTTTTAAAATCACTTTATTAAACCTTCAAATAACAAACAGGAATTGTCATCTTTTCATTGTTAAAACACATGAACAATAAATCCAAGCTGCATATTTATTTAGCATGTTAAATAAAAATAAAACTAAAAGCAAATTATAACACAAATTAATAGAGGAAAATCCCAACTAAAAACGTATAATATCTCAAATTAACCTTGACCATTTGGTAAATACCTTGCTTACCATAGTGTTGCTCTGTAATTTGCCCTTTTCCTTAAGAACTCTACTTATTAACTACTTAAGAACTGGATAAATGTGTCTGCTAAATGTAATGTAATGTAAATGTAAGAGCTCAACTAAGTACTATAATGCAAAATATGTGTAGAAAGATGTTATGGCAGACACATGAAACATCACAGTTGTCATCTATACTTTTAAAATATACATATAACGTGTAGAAAATAAAAAACCTTCTGCAATAATTATTAGGTCCCAGAACTGGACAACAAAAAAAAGCCATTCCAATTACAAAACACATTTTCTTTAGTTTGCCCCTTTCACTCTCCATACTAAACAGACAAACAATGATTATTTAAAACATTTTAAAACAAATTCAATAAACAAGTGATCAAATTTAAACCATCTCTACTGTGTTTTTAAAGACTGTTTAACAGCAATTAAGCCCTTATTTTAACATTACTTAATTTAAGACTCTTTAGTCAAAGTCAAAATATATAAAAACACGTTTGATAATGCACCCTTAATACTAAACATAAACATCTCAGTATAACTTTCTCAATTATAACTTTCTCAATTGTAAATAAATCCAAATGTGCTACAAAGTTGTTTGTTCTATGTTGTAACATGAAAAATACTTAAAAAATCCAAAACTGCTTACATTTAGAACTTTTGTCTACTATGTACTATATTGTAACACTATACAATAAACAAAAAATTCACATTACTGTCTTACAACAAACACCTAAACAAGAAAATTACTTCTCACTCTACTAAACATCTTTCTTTACTTTTGATTGCCTCTCTTAACACTTTTTCCAGATGTTTTCTCATTTCCTTTCACCGTAGCTTTTACAGAAAGTCCAACCTTGCCTTTATTGGTTTCATCACCTCATTTGCTCTTTTCCTCCACAACGTGACTGTGAATATTAAACAGTTTCATGTGCAAACAATTCTTCAAGCATCACATCTTCAGACATTGATTCTACAAATTGTTCCACACTTGCACTATTTACCACTAGAGTCTAGTACCGAAAACCAGTTGCATTTTAAAACCAGATCCAAATTTCTATAACCAGGTATTCAATAAGACACATGCATTTCGATTCTGCTTAATTACTGCATTGACATTTTAATGGGATGTAAAACAATTAAAGTACACAAACGCAAAAAACTGTTTGTGTGCAATACACACATCTAGACCACAAGCGCAAACACAGAGAAATGCCGTTTCAATGCATGTCCCCAGTTTGTTTGTTCTCAAGCCATTCTGTGCATTTCCACTGCAGAAAATGTTGTTCCATGCCACAACTCACTTCTTTCATATTTATCAACCAGTATACAAAAACTACATCAGTATATCATCATAAACACAGCCATTTGTGTCTCAAGTAAACATAAACAGATGAAAAAGAAAACTAACATGTACAGTGTTTTAAAAGACAACAGCCTAAACACGCGCTACCTGACAAATGTTAATCAAAAAACAAAAGAAAATCATTCACTAATCTTGACTAAATATATTTAATCATTTAAATTAATTAATCTATATTTTACGTATGAAAAGAAACCTATGCAGTATTTTTAAACTTTTAATTATACTTTCTGTACCTGAAATTTGGTTCAGTTGTATTTATTTATGCTATTGCTAATTGATTTGTTTCTTCCGATTTCATTACTGACTATTTACTTTTCTTCAACACTTCAATATTTGAAATTTATATTAATCTAGTTGTTTTTGCTGTGGTATTTTTGTTAAAAGCATAGGCAAAAGTTCATCTTGTAGGCCCAAGCAGGGCCGTAGCTGAGATTTGCGGGGCCCCGATGCAGGTTGTACCCATGGGCCTTATTTGAAATTGTGTAAATAGCACAAATAAACAAATTAAACAATGTTTAAGTTTTTTCAAGTTTAAAGGTGTCCAGGTACAGAAACTGAATAATCAACTGTAAATAGCATTGCATAGTCTTCACTGTACAAATTAAATATAGATTAATTATTGTTAAAACTACAAAGAATTCAGTAAAGAGCAGTGAGTGATTTTCTCCCATTTAATTTCTTGGATTAACATTAAGGACACTGACAGCAGCTAGTAAATTACGCGCGGTCACTTTAAGAGACAATACATCCAATATAATGATACACATTCGATTTCTTTCTCAACTGTTTACTTTCACTTAAGACATAGCCAACAATTTTTCAAGGATACTTGCAAAGACAGGTATTGTGACAATTTTGTATGTATTTGTTGTTTCAAGAGCAAAAATAGACAAAACTCAATTCGGTGTTCAAGGGTTGTGAGACGCAGCTCTCTGCGTGCATGCTGTGCGCACAGAACAGCGCGTGGGTGCTGAATTAAGCTTTTCATGTCTTTTTGTGTTTATATGTTTAAACTGGCGAGGTGTATTTGTTCGTTCAGGCACGGGAAGAAGTGAAGAAGAGCTCGATTCGGTGTTTGTGCAGCTTTCTGTGTGTGCACCGAACTCGGCGTACGAACTCTCAGTTGAGTTTTTCTGCGTCTTGTGTTTGAATGCTTTAAACTGTTTTGAATGTTTACATTGGCAAGACTTAAAACACATGCAATTGATAAGCTTTCGTGACAACGCGCAGGCCATCTATTTATGCTGGCCTCGGGAGGTCAGTTGAAATCACCAGGGCCCCCCCTCAGCCGTGGGGCCCTTATAATGGTTACCACCTTTCACCCCACTAGCGACGGCCCTGGGCCCAAGTGTTCTGTAAGCTGCTTCTTTTTCCTCATGTTATTTAGCTGCAACAGAATGCCTTGTAAAAAGACACAGTAAATGTTTGACATCTAAATGTTTGACTTCATTTTTTAAAAATATTATATATTTTTTTTATCTTATTGCAATTGAAACTAGAAATCAATAACAATCAAAATCAATAAGCAAACTCAGAATCAATAAAATTCAAACAATACCCAACCCTACTTACGACTTTCCCTTGTGCCTCAGAAGACTCATTTGCTGACTGAGAAACCCCTACTTTGACATTTTCTTCCACATCCTGAATCTGTGAACATTCAACACTTTCATATACAATGTTACGTCCATATATGTCCTTGTGGGAGTGCCTGTGTTTTTCTTTCTCTCGCTCTCGCTCTCTCTCTCTCGCTCGCTCTCTCCCCTTTCCCTATCGATCTCTTAGGCCGCCTTCCTTGACTGCTGATTGGCTCATGACGCTGTCAGTCATCATTAAGCAACTTGATGCCGACCTATCCGCTGCTGGTAAAGTTTTCGCCGGCAGATAAAAGAACACGGAGAGAAGTGAATGGAGACCTCTTTTGCTCCCTGATTTTTGCTGTCTTTTTACTCATTTTGACTTGCTTTATTTGTTATTTATAATGTTACTCCTTTTACCCCTAGACCATCTTAAAGGGTCGTAACATTTAATGGGGGCTCGTCCGGGATCAATTAATCCCCAAAATTATGGTAATTGTGGTAATTTTGTAGATGTGTTGGTTGCAAAGAATGGACATTGCATTGTTTGGGGTATGGTGACAGTATAGGACTTACTCGTGCAGTGTAGTAGTGTTATTCTTATTGGTTGGTTATTTATTATGGAAGTGTTTAACTTGCAAGATTTTGTTACCAGTCCATCTGTAGAGCAGGTTAATTTGTGCAGGAAGCAGGATTTATTGCAGATCGCAGACCATTTTCAGGTGGCTGTAAGTAAACAGTCTCTTAAAAAAGAAATAAAACAAATACTGATCTTGCGTTTGAATGAGTTGCAGGTGTGGCCTACGTCAAACGTTGGGGGTGGTTAAACGGGCGGAGTTGTTGATATGGATGGCGTGGCTCTGGCGCAATTCAGTTCTGGGGAGGAGGACAAGCGGAGTGGCGGAGCTGATGCTGACGCGGAGGCGGAGGCCGAAGCCAAGGCCGGCTTACCACCGTTTGAGCCGTTTTCACCCAGTTCTGTTGATTCACGGGAAGGCACACGACTGAAGGTCCGCCTGGCCCGTTTGCATTATGAAGCGCACGAGAGAGCCCAGGCGCGCCAAGCTGAACTGAATTTGCAGTTGGAAGTACGCAAGCTGGAAATCGAGGCAGACAAGCAGGTGTGGCCTACATCAAACGTTGGGGGTGGTGAAACGGGCGGAGTTGTTGATATGGATGGCGTGGCTCTGGCGCAATTCAGTTCTGGGGAGGAGGACAAGCGGAGTTGATGCTGACGCGGAGGCCGAAGCCAAGGCCGGCTTACCACCGTTTGAGCCGTTTTCACCCAGTTCTGTTGATTCACCGGAAGGCACACGACTGAAGGTCCGCCTGGCCCGTTTGCATTATGAAGCGCACGAGAGAGCCCAGGCGCGCCAAGCTGAACTGAATTTGCAGTTGGAAGTACGCAAGCTGGAAATCGAGGCAGACAAGCGGGTGAAGCTGAGGCAGCTTGAGCTAAGTGCATCAAAAGTTGCTACTGGCTCAGCTGTACAGCCGGACACCGCTCACGCCTCTTCTCCTTCTCCGCGGGTTGGTTTAGCCCCAGAGGCTTTTGACGTGAGTAGACACATTGCACACGTTCCTCAATTTAGAGAAACAGAAGTGGATACTTACTTCAGTGCGTTTGAACGCATCTTGCGTGAGATTCCCGCTCCATCGTGTGCACTTACAGAGCGAGTTGTGTACTGGTTTTGTGAGAGTTGCTGTGAGTCCTTCACTTCCTGTGATAGGTGTTGATGTTATTCTTGGAAATGACCTGGCAGGTGGAAAGGTAATGCCTGTTATTGAAGTTGTTGATGAACCAGATGCGTTTTGTGAGTTAGAGGTACTGTCTGAAACTTACCCTGATATTTTTCCAGCCTGCGCCGTTACGCGCGCTCAGTCGCGCAGAGTAGGTTATGTAGTTGATCTGTCTAATTCATTCATGTTTCCACTGTTCTCGGGTGACACATCATTGGATATGAATCTTGAAAAGGAAAACAGTTCAAAGACCTGAAAACAAAGATGTAATTGTGTCTGATGCAGATATACTCAAATTACCAGTGTCACGTGAGAGAATTATTGCTGCGGAGAAAGGATAAAACTCTTGTGACTTCTTTTAATTCTGCTATTTCCCTTGATGTGGCTAAGGATAATAAATTTGCTTACTTTATTGATAATGACTTACTGATGAGAAAGTGGTGTTCTCATGTTGACAAGAATTTAGACTGGAATGTTGTTTATCAAATTGTTGTCCCATTTTCCTATCGTCAACATGTCTTGTGCTTAGCTCATGATCACCAGCTTGCTGGTCATTTAGGAGTTACGAAGACGTATAATAGGATTTTGAGTCATTTCTTTTGGCCAGGATTAAAGAAAGATGTTACTCATTATTGCCGTACTTGTCATACCTGTCAGATTGTTGGGAAACCAAACCAGAGAATTCCACCCGCTCCTTTGTCTCCTATACCTGCGATTGGAGAACCGTTCGAACATGTGATGGTAGACTGCGTTGGTCCGTTACCTAAGACTAAGTCTGGTAACCAGTTTTTATTAACTGTTATGTGTGTGGCCACCAGATTTCCAGAGGCGATTCCGTTAAGAAAAATCACTGCGCCTGTTGTCAGCAAAGCATTGGTGAAGTTCTTCTCCACGTTTGGACTCCCAAAAATAGTGCAAACTGATCAAGGTACAAATTTTTTATCGAAACTTTTTAAACAAGTACTTGAATCACTGGCAATTTCTCACCGAGTCTCAAGTGCGTACCACCCACAGAGCCAGGGCGCACTTGAGCACTTTCACCAAACCCTTAAGTCAATGCATAAGAAATATTGCCAGGACACTGCTAAAGACTGGGATC